TGATAACTTTCCTAGTCTGAGGAGGTCGCTAAGAATTCCAAGTGCATTATGCTCTTGGATTTAAGTGACCTCTAGTTGGAATCAAATACATAATGTAAGTATTCAAAAATTATTTCCCCCTTGTCAGTCTGTCTGTTCTACTAGAGGAAAGAATATCTCAGTGAGTGAGATGAGATATTCTGGTAGATTTCTGAAACAATAGTGGTCTTCATGAGATTCTAGGAAACTTAAGTTGTGTCCATCTTTAAATAAAATGCCAAACATCTGATCTGCATCCAATCTGATGAACAAAACAGTTGCTTTGAGCCTCTTGGCTTCTATGAGTGAGTGGCAAACTTAGGCCTGACAGGAACTTGGTTTTTTTTTCCCCCCATGTATAACAGTTTTCTTTGAAACACCAAGAATCCCTTTACATTATGGAATATTTACATAAGAAAGAATTTCCTCCATAAACTTTATAATATATATTGGTACAAATATTGACTTTGTTTCTAGTCCCTTAAAGAAAGGGAGGTAATAAATTGAGGTAATTCTCAACCAAATAAACGTACAGTATTTAATGGATATTTATTTTAGAAAACGCAATAAGGTAAGAAAAACCATTAAAATCAGTTACTATACCATTGATGGCTAAACAATATAAACATTTGAGTACACGTACTACAAGATGAATTTTTTCTCTCTGTAAATATGTTGGCTACTTTATAGAACAAAGTGGAAGTCTATACTTTTTCCTTGAACATCATTTTTATTGGCTGTGTAATATTTCATTGTAATACAGGTGAACCTTAGTTTATATTAAATAACCCTTTCTTGATAATCCCTAGATTTAGAATAACCTTTGTTGGCAAATTGACATTTGTGAAGCCTTTTTCTCTATAACAGTATTATAAATAATAGTTTATTTTCTAGGTTAGCGCCTCAAATTCTAATTCATATTTATCACATGGTAAGATGCACCGCTAGATAAATGGCACTCTGATACTTAAACCATAGGTTCTGCTTATCGTATCATTTTTGTGGAAATCTCTGTAATCCAGTTAAGTTAGCACCTGGCACAGTGTCAGAGATAAAACAGGCACTCAACAAAATCTGAATGAATGGGAGTTGGTATTCTATCTTTGCTCAGGTTGTCCTGATGAAAACAGCCAAGTGGAACAGATGGTGTTCACTTTCTGGCCTATGAGAGGAGAGTTGTGGGTGACAGGAAGGGTACACTGGATTAGCAGGATTTCCTCACAATTTGTGTCTTTGGCAGTTGTCAGCAGTTCTGCCTCAGACAACCTCGTAAAGACTCCCAGGAAGTCTGTTTACCTGGTACAAAGTTGGGGGTAGTGGAAGTGGGCATGTAAAAGATACAGAAAACTTGAACAACAAACCTGACCTAATTTTGTTTGTTTATTTATTTATTTATTTAGAGACCAAGTCTCGCTCTGTCTTCAGGCTAGAATGCAATGGTGCAATCTCAGCTCATTGTAACCTCCGCCTCTCTCCTGAGTTAAAGCGATTCTCCTGCCTCAGCCTCCTGAGTAGCTGGGACTATAGGCATGCGCCGCCATGCCTGGCTAATTTTTTTTTTAATTTTATTTTTAGTAGAGATGGCGTTTCACCATCTTCTCCAGAATGGTCTCAAACTCCTCACCTCAGGTGATCGCCCACCTCGGCCTCCCAAAGTGCTGGAATTACAAGTGTGAGCCACGACTCCAGGCTCTAATTGATATCTATAGATCATTCCACATAGCGCAAGCAGAATACACATTTGTTTTAAGTGCACACAGACTGTTTCTCATGTTCTGAACCATAAGGAATTCATGGATGGTTTTTTTAAAAAAGTTAAGCACATACCTTTCATATGTAGGCATTCCACTTATAAGTATTTATCCAAAAAGAAAGTACACATTCATTCAAAGATTTCTACATGAATGTTCATTGCCATTTTGTCTATAAAAGCCAAAAACTAGAATAGCCCAAAATGTCCTTCAGCATGTGAATGAATAAACTGTGGTGTATCCACACTACAGAATACTTCTCAGTAATAACAAGGAATAAACTGTTGATACATTCAACAACATGGATGAATCTCAAAGTAAATTTCACTTCATGCTAAGGTAAAGAAGCCAGGTGAAAAGGGTACATACTCTGTGGTTCCCTTTGTATAAATTTTTAAATCATACGTATGCGTATAAAGAGACCGATCAGAGCAGTGATTGCCTGGCGGTGGAGAATGGTGGGATAGGGTGGGAGGAAGGATTAAAGGTGCATGAATCAACTTTTAGAGGTAATAGATTGTCTTGGATGCGATGTTTCTTAGGTTATACATATGTTAAAACATCAAATCTTACAATTTCAAGATGCGTAGTTTATTATCTAGAAATAATCTCAAAGCTGTTTATAAACAGATCATAAAATAAGGCATTTAGAATTCTGGGGCTGTTTACATCATTTTAGTGTTTATCAAACACAGTTAAATGCAAATGGAATGACATTTTACTGTGTACTGTGCTGGGTCAATAAAAAGGACTTGCTTGGTGATTCGTAATTCTGTATAACAAGAAACAAGGAAAAATGTTAGGAATGTAAAAAATAAGGCTGAGTGAGGTGGCTTATGCACATCATCCCAGCACTGTGGGAGGCGGAGATGGGAGGATCTCTTGAGCTCAGGAGTTTGAGATCAGCTTGGGCAACATGTTGAAACCCCATTTTTACAAAACATTAGCTGGACATGGTAGCATGCCTGTCTTTCTGTCTGTCTGTCTGTCTCTGCCTGTCTGTCTGTCTATCTATCTATCTATCTATCTATCTATCTATCTATCTATCTATCTATCTATGTTTGTCTGTCTATCATCTATACCAGTTTGTTTCTGTCTCCCTATCTATCTATCTGATGTTCTTTCCATTTTTCACTGAGGAAAAGTCATGTATATACATGGTTAACAATTGAGAATTGAATTTTCAATCGTGTTGCATCCCTATGAGTAGAGAAAAAGAGAAGTAGAAAATGTGATAATTCAGTAGCTACTCCTTGCCTGTTGAATCAAGATCAAATTCCTGAGCCACTGACTTTTGATGTTTTGTGTGATTTGACCCTAAGCTTCTTGTTTAGTTTTGGCTTGCCCTTCCCAGAGAATTTACTGGTTTTTCCCCTACTTCACTGCCTTGGTTAATGCTTTTCTCTGCCTGTGATTGTTATGTATCCCACCTCATCCTATGGCTCTATCTGGTAAAATGCTGCGTATCCTTTAGATTCTTTTTTGGATGCTTTCTCTGGTGTGTCCCCTGTGTTCTGTATTTTAGTGGACAAGTAAGCCCATAGTGTGTACCCTACACTCTGCACTTTATGTATTTACATATGTGGCTTGAATGACTTTTATTAGTGGCACCTAGCCAGGTACCTTGTACATGGTAGGCCTGTTTGTTGTTGGTGCCTTAAACACAGTAGGTGGAAGATAGTTTTGCAATCCTCAAAGATCTGGAAGCAGAAGTACCAGATTTGACCCAGCATTCTCATTACTGGATATATACCCAAAGGAATATTAATTATTCTGTTATAAAGATACATGCATGTGTATGTTCATTGCAGGACTATTCACAATAGTAGAGAATCAACCCAAATGCCCATCAGTGATGGACTGGATAAAGAAAATGTGGTGCATATATACCATGGAATACTATGCAGCCACAAAAAGGAATGAGATCATGTCTTTTGCAGGGACATGGATGGAGCTCCAAGTCCTGTCCTCAGCAAACTTAACACAGGAACAGAAACCCAAACACTGCATGTTCTCACTTACAAGTAGGAGCTGAAGGTTGAGAACACAGGGACAGATGATGGAGAACAACACACATGGGCCTGTGTGGGGCTTGAGGGGAGGAAGAGCATCAGGAAGAATAGCTAATGGATGCTGGGCTTGATACCTAAGTGATAGGTAGATCTGTGCAGCACAGCACCATGGCATGCGTTTATCTATGTAACAAACCTGCACATCCTGCACAGGTACCCTGGAACTTAAAAGACCACAATGGAAGCAATAGTGAGTGAGGTTGGCCCTACTGTTATGGAACTGAACAGGTGAAGAGTTAATGCATTTTGGTTATTATTTAGGTGCATTGGGCTTAACTGATACCTTGGGTTTTTTTGTTGTTGTTGTTGTTTTTTTTTTTTTTTTTTGAGATGGAATCTCGCTCTGTTGCCCAGGCTAGAGTGCAGTGGCGACATCTCAGCTCACTGCAACCTCCCCGTCCCGGTTCAAGCGATTCTCCTGCCTCAGCCTCCCAAGTAGCAGGACTACAAGTGCATGCCACCATGTCCGGCTAACTTCTTGTATTTTTTGTAGTGATGGGGTTTCACCATGTTACGTAGGATGGTCTCTCCTGACCTTGTGATCTACCTGCCTCGGCCTCCCAAAGTGCTGGGATTACGGGCATGAGCTACCGTGCTTGGCATGTACTTGCACATTTATTAATTGTAATTAATGCCAATGAGGAAAGCAGCAACAAGACAAGCAGGAGGAAATAAATTGTTTTTATATTATTTTTGAAGCATATTATATTGTCCATATAGTTATGGCAGAGGAGTGGCAGGTTTACTGTGCTCCTGTTATTTTCTTTCTTAAAGTAATATTTAAATTGTGTGGAACCTCCTCATCCTCCACATTTTTAGAACTGTGCAGTGGCTAGTTGGGGAAAGTTAGTTTGTAAATTTAAATCAGCTAGATGTAATTCATTCTGAATAATTCATAATAGAAATATTCAAGAGTTGGCTTAGGGAATGCACCTTAAGATTACACAGAAGGCTGCATCTCTTCTAAAATTTGAAAAGGAAAAAAAATGAGTTGGCTTAGTGGCATCTTCACAGTAAAATATTCATTGTATCATGGAAAGAGCATGAATTTAGTATGAGTTGTAGAATATTTGGAGTAATATGTTTTTGAGATTTCAGGTGAAAGTTAACTCTCTGGAGCGTCCACACCCTTGATCACGTCTTAAATTTATTTTTCCAGGTCCGGACCCTATTTGTCAGTGGTCTTCCTCTGGATATCAAACCTCGGGAGCTCTATCTGCTTTTCAGACCATTTAAGGTACCTTTTTTATTTTTCAGAAATCATAAAATGAGACAAAATTCTGTGTGCTTCCTGGGGGCTTTTTGGAGCAAGAAATGAAATATTTGAGAAAGCACTTCATATAGTGATGTTTTTCAAAGGTTAACGAGTAAAGGAGATTAAACAACTGAGTTCTAATATACAGCCTCACTTAGGATAATAGACTGAAAGTACCTCTGGACCTCCAACAGGCAATCTAGAAAAGTCTGTGTTCTTGCTGATGTGGACATGCATCTGACTGTCTATCTGTATTCCATGTAGAGCAGCCTTAGTGTCCTTCCTGTTTGTCCTCTAATTGGGAGTGCCCTTAGAATAGATCACCAAAAAATTATAAATTACATATTTATATTTCAGATGGCAATGATGTAAGTGAAGTTCCTACCTTATTAGTTGAAATACTACTGTTGATACTGTTCTTTGGAATAGGTTTTTATGAACTGGGTTAAGAACCTAACCACCATTATTTTTTTCCATGGCAAAAGTGTCCCTAAGTTTCAAGCGAAGGAAAACAAAATTTTAAAGGATACCTAGTTATGAAGTGAGGGTAATATTTCCTGGTATTTATTGAAATACTTAATGCAGTTACCTGTCGTTCCTTTGGAAATAAGATCACTTGATAGATATTTATTGTTGCTGGGACTGAAAACTTCATAGGAGATTAGACACCAAGGACATAGTAGAAACTAAACTGAAATAATCATGCTGGCAAGAGGAAACCTTTTGAAGGTTGGCCTTTGGAGGATAGAAGAAAGCTGGAATTGACTGAACTGGGGCCCTGGAAAGGATAATAAGTTCAGGACCTGTGTTCAGGAAGTCTGAGTTGGTCAGTGTGGATGTGTTAGCAGCAGTGCCTGGCAGGGATAGTACTTATGATTAGGTGATAGGCTATCTTGCTTTCTGGTTAAAGATATCCTCATTGAAGCAGGTCCCCAGCAATAGAGGCCTTACAGGTTGAGGGAGAGGATCCAGCTTCTTAGGGAAAGGGAATAGGATATGACAACTAAAAACTCTTGTGTTGGAGAGGAGGAAGGACGGTTGCAGGGGCAGCCAATTAAAACCAAGATAAAGTAGTGTAGCTTATGTGGCAAGAGGGCACCATGTCATAATGGACATAACTCCACCTGACAGCCATCCCTTTAATGCAACAATAATGACGATGGCACAGGGAAACAGGTTCGGCGCCAGGTCAGGAGGGAGGAAGTAGGAAACGAAGAGAAGGTGTTGTGGAGAGTGTGCCACCTTTTGTAGAATTTCCTCAGTTTCTTCTTCAGGGTTTTACTTTTATAAAAGGGACAACTTTTTTATCCTTTTTATAGAATGCAGACTTTTAAAGTGAATTGATACTTTTAGTGTATAAAATACTGTTATATTTTGGGGTGTATAGAGAGAAAAACATTCAGCCAGCAAGCCCCTTATGTGAATTACCTCGTTAAAGTATTGTCACAATTCTTTCAAGTGGGTGGGTTTCATTTTTTCAAATGAGGAAAATGAAATTTGGAGCAATTGAATAAATTGTGCTCAAGTTTATACACATAAAAAATGACAGAGTCAAGATTAAAGACCAGGTAGTCTGACTCTGCCGTCCCTGTTCTGAACTATTATGTTACACTGCATCTCTGTTTGTGACTTGAGAACACAGTATATCCCTACCAGTGGTGTTTTACTTGAGTGAAATATCCATTTGTCCTTCGAGACCTTCATGGTGCTTAAACCTCCAGTTTTTTTTTTTCAGAAGAGAGCACCTTGAAGAAAGAAAGAGGCAGAACTGTGAATCATGACCTCTCTGGCCATAAGAGCCCAAGGCCATTGAGGTGAAATGTTTATAGTAGCTAATTGGTAACATAGTTCTGTGCTGTGAAGATATAAGGATGAATCAATCTCAACATCCTGCCCAGAAACCCTGACGATAAAGTCAGGACCCTAGTACATTCCTGACAGCCCTCTTAATTAAAGTCCCTGGAGACTGACCCTAGTCTGCAGATCTGTCTCTGCACTGATATGTGTAGTGGTCAATCATGTCAAGTGGTGTGTTTTTCCCGTGTCATCCATTAATGCAAGCCACCAGCTATTGATTATTTTCAGAAATAGGCACATTTTGTTATCCTGAAGAGCTGGGAGGAGTGAAGAGAAGGAGTGAAAGGGAGGGAGTGTTTCTGTCTTCCTAGAGCAGAACTGGAATAAAAACCCAAAAGTATTTTTGCATGTTTCAATCAGAATAGCAACATGAAAACTGTTTCCTTCAGTAAGTAAGCAGAATAACTCAACAAAATTCAACATCATTGTCTGCTTAACCTTTTCTGACAGTTTTGAAAATTTGGTCAGGGAGTTTTACCAACTATATTTTTAATGTTTAATTGTTGTTATCTTACAGCAGATATGACCAAATCAACACATGCTCTGACCTTTCTGTTTTACCTTCTTTCCTTGCCTAGTTCTGTAAAACCCTTACTCTTATCTAGACCAAGAAAACAAAAAGATTACTGTTATCACAGAAACTAATTTTTCTACCATTATATAATTTCATGGGGGAAAAAAAAAAGGAGAAACACACACATATAAATCCATAGACTGATTTTTTTAAAGGCCCCAACAATGCAAACAGGTGTGTGTGTGTGTATGCGCACATGCACATGCATGTGTGTAATTTGCTTTCCCAGATAACTTGGGAGACATTTGTAAGACAAGTTAGGTAATCAATAAAGAATTTATTTTTACATGAACAAGATGGTATTAACAGTTACTTTTTTGGCTAAATTTGGTTTTTCTTTATTTTCAGGGCTATGAGGGTTCTCTTATAAAGCTCACATCTAAACAGGTAAGAATTTCAAACTGGCATATAAAGATCACTTTTTTACTTTCTTCAGGAATGTTGCTGGGGCTTGATATTCTTTTTTTATTCACATTAGAATTTGAGTTTTGTTTTTTTTTTTCTGGTCTTTAACATTAAGAGTGAGTGAGATGTATTAGGAATTAGCACAGGAAAATGTTTCATAATTCTGTAGTCTTCAGCTGGAATTTCAGGGACTGTCCCAGAGCAAGATAAACACAGTAGTTTATTGAGATTGATTTGGTGAATCAGTGAAAATAATGGCTTATTATCTAAATTCACTTTTATTCCCAAGTCTTTCTCATTTCTTTTTATGATGTTAAACTTTTACAGTTTGTTTAACATCATGTCAGATAGTGAAGGATCATGCTGTCTGTCAAACCACTAAAGTAAGGCAGAGTCCCAAGTCTAGAATGGAACAGAGAAGGTACAAAATGGAAGTGGTAGTCAGTGATTCTGACAGTTTCCTACAAGTTTCTTAGAGATCGTAGCTATATTCTTTTTTTTTTTTTTTTTTTTTTTTTTTAAGTTAAACACTTGGCATACACACCTCTCCTCCAGTCACTGTTCTATCTCTCTGTTTCATCAAAAGAATGATCTTGGAGGCACACCCTTCTGGATTGATAGATGTGTGGAGGCCAAAGGGGTTATGGCCTTCCTGTATTTACTCAGAACAGCGTAATTAAGCACAAGATTTTTAAGGCATCCCTTGGGATTTGAGATAGGAATGTTCACTTTGTCATTTTGGTCATGCAGTGAGAGTCCAGGGGTTTTATCATTGTATCATTGTATTCCTTGCACTTACAGTGTACCAAAAGGTGATTCGGTTCTCTTTCCATTTTAAAAGATGAAGAAACTGAGGTACAGTGAATTTGATTTAGGAAAGTAGAGCCTCTCCGACCCAAGTTTTCCTCTATTCCCTTCTTCACTGCTGTTCACCTTTCAACCACTTCTAGATTTTTTTTATGATTCTCTAAATCCCCAGCTGTGCCCTTGAAGAACCACCCTCACCATCCCTTTGATTCATGTTAGAAATTTGGCTAAGCCACTGAGTCATGATTCTTCGGTATTTCGCTTTCTTATTTCTACCCATTGCCTGTGATCATTTCTTTGTCTTAGCTTTTCAGTTTGATAGCACCCTTAACCCAGAAAAATAGATATCGTCTGATTTTTTTTTTCTTCATATTTCTCTTTTTTCCTCAGCCCGTAGGTTTTGTCAGTTTTGACAGTCGCTCAGAAGCAGAAGCTGCAAAGAATGCTTTGAATGTAAGTATTAATGATGTAATTGTAGGGGGTTTCCATATGAGGTGATGGGAAGTAGTGGAATCTCTTTGGACGGGAATTCAAGTGGAAAGAATATGACTGCTCAATCTAAGAGAGAGGGATTCATCAATTTAGCCCTCTAAAGAGCTTTTTCCAAGAATTGTGATCAGATATGCTCAAAGTACCTGACATCTGATGATGTGGGTCTTATTTTAATCCAGCCCCATCCTATCCCATGGTGGTGTGTAGTGCTGCTTTGTTTTTTCCAGAGGAGATCATTGAGAGATTGGCTTGGTTGTCATTGTACTCTAAATGGCTACGCCCAGAACAGATAGAAATCCTGGCTTTTTTTTTTGAGACAGATTCTCACTCCATCACCAGGCACCAGGCTGGAGTTCAGTGGCACCACCTCAGCTCACTGCTACTTCCGCCTCCCTGGTTCAAGCAATTCTCCTGCCTCAGCCTTCCAAGTAGCTGGGACTACAGGTGCGCGCCACCGCACCCTGTTAATTTTTTTGTATTTTTAGTAGAGATGGGGTTTCACCATGTTGGCCAGGTTGGTCTTGATCTCTTGACCTTGTGATCTGCCCACCTCCCAAAGTGTTGGGATTACAGGCGTGAGCCACCACGCCCGGCCGAAATCCTGGCTTTTCTTATTTCATGAGGCTTTCCTTTTAGATATACAGCTTAAAACAAACAAACAAACAAACAAACAAACAAAAAACTGGTCATAGCCTTTATTCTGGTTGATTAAAAATTTACTTATAAGGCTTTCCCAAAAGGCATGTGTGTTAGAATAAATTACAGTCATTTGTAATTAAGTAGATATACCTGTATTTGGTTTGTAGATATGTTGTTTGCTGTGTGTTTTGAGACTTTTGCCAGTATTGTTTTGGTAAATAAGTTTCTTCTTTCGTATGTTGGAAAATTAAACAACTTAAGGGAATTAAGCTTAGAGAAGGTGAAAGGAAGCAGAATGTAGTTTCAGATGCTGAGGATGAATCCTCATGTGCTGAGTCTCTGTGAGGTCTGGCTCCATCATGCTCTAGGCAGTTGGCCTAAGTGGCTATGAGCAAGGGCTGATTAAAGCACTAAGAGTGTTAAGGATGCTTCCTAAAAGGCAAGCAACCACTTGACTGGTTGCAATACAGGTACCATTTTGGAGGCTTCTGGGAACTTGTGTTTGGTCTTTGTGTTGCTGTGTTACCTTAAGGTACCCTACTGGCTAGCTGCTCCTTTGAGCAGACCATGTAGAGGGGTGTTGGAAATACCTGATATAGGTAATGACTTGGAGGTCCAAGGAAAAGTCTTTATATGAGTCTGTTTACTTTGTATAATAGTGTCATTGATACACAACATTGAAAGATTTTAGACTTTGGAACAAAAATGTGTACACTCTGGGAAGAAGCTGCTTAATTGTTGTTGTTGTTTTCATATAAAACACATAGGAACACCTTAGGATTCCAGGAATTCCACAGTCCAGAATTTTTCTGGATTTGGCTGGTCAGAATAGCTGCCTACTCACTCTGTTCCTCTCCTGTAGAACAAAGCAGAAACCAGTTATTTATTGAACACCAATGGTATACACTGAACCCCGGTATATAATGGAATGTTTTGATTCTGCATTAAATACATAAAACCTGAATTTTCCCAGTATAATGACACTTTAAACTTGAAAATAGAACCACAGTTTCAATTTAGCAGAAATTGAAACTTTATTTTAACTAGGTGGACACCTTCTAAATGCAGAAATATTCTGGGTCCTTTAAAGTTATGTTAGATGAAGTTTTCACCATGTTCTTTTCATTGTTCTTACTAAGGAAGTAACAAGCAGTTGAAGCATCACAGACGTGGCTCTCACTGCTTTACTGTAGTTCTCATGTGTGTATAGAGATGTCACTGACTCATTTTCCGAGCAATAGGCTTTTATTGTGACCTCTCATCTGACAAGGCAGCATTCCCTTAGGTGGTAGGTTGCATTTTTGTTTTGTTTTGTTTTGTTTTTTTGTAAGATAACTTAAGGAGTTTGTTGGTTTGTTTGTTTGTTAAAAAATAAAGGCAGGTTGCCCGGCCTGGTCTCAAGCTCCTGGACTAAAGCGATTCTCCTGCCTTGGCCTTCCAAAGTGTTTAGATTACAACCTTGAGCCACCACACCCAGCCCGAAGGTTGTTTTTTAATATTTAAATGGTAATGGTCAAAAAACTGTGTTTCCTTGCCATACTAACTAAAGTACAGTGAACATAATTTCAGTTTTTCTTGGTGCCCAAAGGTTACTACAAATAGCAGGTAATGAACCTACTATGAGAAAATGATAGCGGTGTTTAACCCTGTTTTCCCCTGTGCCAGCTGGTCACAGATCACTGTTGTCTGGTCCTTAGGTCTGACTTTAGTTTATTCTTCTTGCACTCAGCTCTCCATTCTAATTTCTCACTGGCAGTGAGCCTTTCTTTAGCAGTATCCTCTCCTGTAATCATTAATACTGTTTGCTACTCATGAGTTATTAACTTGGGAAGGATCCCAAATAAAACAGGTCTAATTGTGTCTTATTCTATGGGCCTACAGAAAACTTCATATTTACTTGTGGAGTAATGAGCCTGGGCTTTCTGCTGTCCAGGGCTAACTTACATAAGAGTGTAGGGTGTTTACTGAGCTCATAGCTGATCCCTTTCTTGACATTTTAAACTTTTCTGTGTAAAGTAGTAGAGGTATTAGAAATCTTCCTAATTAATGTTGAGTACTGATAGGGGTTCATCCTTAATAAACATGTTATAATACAGTAAGAAAAAAAAAAAAAGAAATCTTCCTAATGTTATAGTTAGGGAAATAGACCTAGAGAGGATGGGTAATTGAGTCAGCATGTGTAGGTTTAGAGCTCCAACGAGGAGGCAGCTAACAGTAAACTTCCTGCATCTCATCCCTGTCCATTTTATACAACATCTTTTTGCTTGCTTTGTACATGGGATGTTGCTGCATTTTTCCTTGTGGCAGTGACAGACTGTTTAATTCACATTGTCCACGATAAATTGCCACCATAAAGTTTGCTATGTGACCGTGGAGCAGACTCATTCAAGGTAGTGTATTTAATCATGAAGCTCATAGGTGTATTCTTTGTGGCCAACGTATTAGGCTCTTTTCAGGGTTATCTTTTCTAGTTGATGAGTTAAAAACATGATACTTGTACCCATGACAAAATTTTCTCCTCTTATGTCATCTGTCCAGGGTTCACTTAACAACATTTTCTTATATTCCTTTGGACAGAGTCAATGTTGTAATGTTTTGTTTTATTCCACTATTGAGAAACATACACGTGAATCCCGTAAGTTTCTCCGTTTAGAATAGTTCACTATTATGAACCACTTCTCCATGTTTGGAGCTTCTCTTTTTGTTGTTTCTGGCTTGTTTGCTATCTGGTTCAGTTGTTAGTATTAATGATTAGCCCTTTCTCAAAATGACTGATTTTTAGAATATTTTCTTCCCATTTTTGGATTGGGCTTCAGTCATTTTGATAACTTTATGGAAAAACATGCTCAAATTGAATTAAGTGGTAACACTGAACTTTTTTTTTTTTTTTTGGAGAGACGGAGTTTTGCTGTTGTTACCCAGACTGGAGAGCAATGGCACGATCTTGGCTCACCGCAACCTCTGCCTTCTGGTTTCAAGCAATTCTCCTGCCTCAGCCTCCTGAGTAGCTGGGACTACAGGCACGCACCACCATGCCCAGCTAATTTTTGTATTTTTAGTAGAGACGGGGTTTCACCTCGTTGACCAGGATGGTCTCAATCTCTTGACCTCGTGATCCACCCGCCTCAGCCTCCCAAAGTTCTGGGATTATAGGCGTGAGCCACCGCGCCCGGCCAACACTGAACTTTAATAGGGGAATTCTCAAAGCTTCTAAATTTAAATACAGAATGTTTTGTTTCTATAGCAAAAAGTCTGAAGTTAGGCAAAAAAATAAGCCAAACCCAGACTTCTTTTCAGGTTATCTTTGGTCCCATTAATCACATGATTAGAAACCCCATTCATTCTTTAACCTGACAGCAAAATATCTGACCTATTCTTTGTCTTTCACTCACTTTGTAATTTCTGTACCTGTTTTGAATTTCTGAGCTAAAGGAAGGGGGCACTGACAGTCTTAAGTATCAAATTATTTTTAGGACTTGTTTATAATTTTGGAAAGTAAATTAAATATGCTAATATAGGGAATTAGCTAGGTTTAGGAAAAATTCTGATTTGTGGAAATTTTTAAAAGGAACACAGGAAGCAGAGCATGTTGAAGGGTAAAGATCCCCAACAGATATGGGAGTAAACCATCTCTAGCTATTCCCAGCAACTGAGAGGACCTCAAATTTGTCATTGTTGTCTAGTAGGAATCTTGTTTTTATAAAGGAGAATGATTTGTAGTTAACCTTCAATTCATCAGGCTTATGCATTATCTCTGCTAATCTATGCATGATCTCTGTAATGACCAATTTCCAAACCCAGTAAGACAAGACAACAGTGAAACAAGATAATGCCTGTTATGGCATTCTCTTGTCTTACTGGGTGTTTGGAAATTGGTCATTACTTTAAAAAGTGTGGACTGTTTAGTATATGTGTCATTCATTTGTTATCCTTCCTTCCCTGATTTTGTATAGTTGTTATTGGGCTAGGTTTTATCTTAGACTGTATTATAATTTGTTACGTGAGAACTGGAGAAGTCTATGTATATCACTGCAAAATGCCTTCCTAACTAAACATTGCTTAGGCTAGTGTAGTAATTTGCTTTACTCTCAAACTATACTCATTAATCTAAGTGATCTTCAGTTATCAGTGAACCTCCAAGTTCAGTGTTGTTTTTTCCAGATAGCTCTTGAGATAAAATTTACATATGATTCAGTTATTTAAAATACTCAATTCAATGGCTTTTCGTATGTTACATTAATTTTTTTTTTTAATTAAAAATAGAGACAGGGTTTCACCATGTTGGCCAAGATGGTCTTGATCTCTTGACCTTGTGATCTGCC